CAGCAGGAAGGTCATCTCCCTGCAGGAGCGTCTCCTTTGGGCGGCAGCTGGCCCAGCACGGGCGACCCTGAGGTCAGCTGCATGTTTGGCCAGAGCCATCAAAGCATTTGTCGCTTGTAATGGTCAGTGGGCTGAAGGCACATTGGCCCTTCAACGTGATGCCAGTGTGCCAACTCTTTTGGGCATGTTGGTTTGCTTGGGGTTGGACTCTTTCTCTCTCTCTCTCTCTCTCTCCTTGTCTGTAATGCACCATCCATATGCATAATGAGGGAGGCAGTCAGCGCAGCTTCTTCCTGGGTTAGTTGCAGCCGTTTCTTGCAAACCCTGTCAGCCCAAGGTCCCCGCAGTGGCATCAACCTGTCTCATTGGGGTTTTATAGTGGATCGCAGCTAAGGCTACTATGATACATTGCAGTTCAGCTGCACAAGGACGAGTTAATCTTTCCCCAGCACCAGTGCCCATTGTGCCTGGTATTCCTGGACATCTGCAGAGGACTTTTGCAGCCCCCACAGTTCTTTGTCCCACATTGTAAGAGTAACTTCCCCCTTAAGCTCCTCCTCTTCATTTTTTGCTTCTGGAACAGGGAAACAGCCAGTATTAAATAACTTGGTTGGGTAAGTGACTGCAACCCAAATGGCTGGGAAATCTCTGAAAAAAGCTGTGAAGCTAGGACCTGTAGATACATAGGGCTGGGGTCCTCTCATCATCCTCACAAAAAAAAGGCAGTGATCAGTAATTGTGAAGTCCCTGGAATCTTCCAGGCATCAGGGCCCACGTTCTTACACGTGATCCCCTTGCTGTAAAGTAACAGGAAGGTAGGGAACTTGCTGAATTTTCTATCCCTTCAAGCTTATTATAACCAGTAATTTGGCAAAAACTCACCAAACTGAATTGCATGGAATTACTTGGGGGGGGGGACCCTGTTCCTCTGTGACTGAAACACAGTATTTCAGTGATGTCTTATTCAGTGTCGCCCAGGAAAATCAAAACTAGCTGTGACCAAATAAAGGGAAACTGTCTCTGGAGTTTTCAGGCACTGCCACCCATCTCTCAAATGACAGTGTTGTGTGTGAGATGGGATAAATGGAAAACTCTGAATGTCTCTCTGAGTACATCCAGGATGTCAGGATGTTTTGCACTATTTTGCAAGCAAGAATTGAAAGTGATTGTTCACGTGAAGCTTCTTCCTTTTCTCTGACCTCTCTTTCTTTAGGCTCTTCCTGTTGAAAAGCAATGTATCTTTGAGTTAAAACAAGGCTGCCTGGACGAGAAATCCTCCTTTCTCTCCGAGGAGATCACCAAGTAGCAAACTGGATTCAGCTATTGACTGTGATAGAAAATTTAGCCTCTTATTTCTGTTTTTCTTGTTTTATTGCCAGTCCTCTGTGACATTTGGACTGATAGAGAAGACTATGGGAGCTGCCTCTGATTGTAAAAGGCAGCAGAGAGCCAGGGGAGAGGATCTAGAAAGTCATTTTGGTTTAAGCTTGAGAGGTGCTGATTGCAGTTCGAATCAGTTCAGCGTTTAGTGATCACTATGTTTAGGAGAGGCTTGGTGCAGTCTTTTTGTGTGTACTCATGTCCCTGCATGCTTTTTCATCTTCTGAGAAACATCATGTTCCCACCCTCCCACCCCGTGTCTTCTGCCACATACAATGGGCACATTAATCCTGCTTTCTAGGCTTTAGTAGTGTTGCTGTCTCCATATGTTCAAGAGTGGACCTAGAATTCATGACATTCAAAATATAAAAAATCATGTGATTAAGAGGAAACCAAAGTGTGTGTGTGTGTGGTGGGGGGTTGTTTTTTTTTTCCACTAGAGTCATGTTCTCAAGTGCTTCGCTACATCCATGACCACTAGGAATGTTTTACGGTTTAAATTAAAAGCTGAGATTCTTGCACTGTGTTGAGTGAAGCAAATGTTGCTTAGAGTGTATATTGTAATGCACTGACTATTGGTTGCACTGTTCTTGGATCTTGGGCCACAAGGATTTTCTTTTTGTTTCTGGTGTCTAGTGAAGTGTTTTCTCTGAACTATGGGTGAATCGCTTTCCAACCTCTGGAAGGGCTCTGGCCAGAAGGAGAGTGAACCCGTCCTGCCCAAGAAATCAATTGCTGAGGATGAAGTCTCCGGTTATGGCAGTATTAATGCTACTCCCTGTGCACCATGCTTGGGCATTGCAAGTCGGGGCTGCGTCAACTGCCCAACATGCCAGGGAACGGGAAGAATCCCCAGGGGTAGGAGATTCTTATACATGGTTGGTGGTTTTCAGCCTTTCCAAACCTCTATTTCAACCAGATAGCATCAGCTGCTTCTGAGTAACTGTGTGCACAGTGTGGAGGATGGCATGCTGAGACCGGTTATCTCTGTGGATGATGCACCTCTGTGCCAATGAGGAGACAGTGGGTTCTATTTTTGGTTAATTAGCTCCAAACCCAGGCTCCTGACAAGTTGTCAGTCCAGTCCCAGTCAGCAAAATGGTTGTTGCTACCCTAGACTGAAGCAGATTTTGGTTATCTGAGCTCCATCACTGTATCTTGCTAAATGCAGTAGTGTCTGTATCACAAAGTCTGATCAAGTCTAAACTGCTGTGCTTTGCCCTGCAGCCTGATGTGCTTTCTTTGCTGCTTTGCCCAGTCTGATGGCTCTAACCTGCACCTCTTCACTTTCTTGCAGGGCAAGAGAAGCAGTTGGTGGCTCTGATTCCATATGGTGACCAGAGGCTGAAGCCCAGACGAACGTAAAGTTCTGCTTTTTCTGTTATCTTACATTTTCTTGCTATATTTGAATAGATGTAGTCAGAGCTGACCCTAGCGGGGTGCAGGGCCCGGGACAAATCAGCCTATGCGGTGCCCCTTTAACACTACACGAGGCTGTGGGACCCCCTCAAAGGCAGGGCATGGTAGTGCTGTAGCAGTGAAATTTGGTGCCTAGGGCCAAGCAGATCCCGCGTGCCTTGGATGAGCTGCTCTTCAGCGGACATGAAGCCAGTGGCACGTGGTGGGGAGGCAAGCGGCTAGTCACTTCCGTGGCACGGGGCTGAGCCACCAGCTCCAGGCAGGCCCAATGGGAGGAGCCACAGCCGCTCTGCCTGGCTCCATGGGGGCCCCCCCAAAGCACGGGGCCCAAGGTGGTTGCCCCGATTCGCCTTACCCAAGGGGTGGCTCTGGATGCAGCTTAGGTTCTTCACATTACAACAGAGATTCTGTTTTAAAGGATCACTGAAAGGCTGATGAGTCTTGGGTGCGGTGCCAGTAGAATACCTGTACTGTGACGGTAGGGAGTTGCATTCTGAGCTGTAGGAGGGAATGTCACTGGGACTCTCAGCTGGCAGTTCTGTTTGAAAAGGTGCCTTGAGGCCTTTGACCAGTGACAAGCAGCATGTCACCGTGTTTGAAACCTGTTGCTCCTCCTCCACAATAAGAGTGCTGCTCCACAAGCCTGTCTAATGCATATCCCATCCCAGGCCCTTGATACCTGAGGTCCTGGTGCCAACCTAGCATGAGCTGGTTTCTGTTCTTCTACATGAAGCCAGGCTGCAGGACACTCACTGCTATGAAGGCTGGCTGTCTGAACCAGGTGAGCCATGTCCCTCTGATGCTATCTTGCAGGAAACTGTATGTGTCACTTGCGGTGGTGATTTGCCTGCTGATGTCTTCTCTCATCATATTCTTCCTGTTCCCTCGCTCCATAAACGTGCAGCCTGCAGGGCTGAATGCCTCCTCCATTGCCTTCGATGCAGCCATTTCCAGTATCATCCTCAACATGACAGTGAGTTCTCAAGCTGGAGCTTACAGTGAAGTTAAGCTGAGCTATGGAGGGGTTGGAGGGCAGCAGAGTCTCATCTTCATCTCCCCATAGCTAGCGACAGAGAAATATTCATAACTTGGCTCAGTTATAAGTGTCCATTCCAAGATTTCTGAAGATCAAATGGGATGGGGGGGTGGGGAGAGTGGCAGGTCAGGAGTGAGTTATGTCGGCAGAACTACGTGCAGTGAAGGAGTAGAGATTGTTTCAAGTCAGGAGTCAGCTGTAGAATGGAGCTAGTTGAGGAAGCAGGCAAGGCTGGAGTGGCAGGGCAGGAGTGAGGTGCTTTCGATAAAGCCAAGTTGAGGGGGCCAGGAAGTGCTGTCTGGTAACAGTCAGCTATGCAGCACATTCTAGCAGTCATCCTTAGTCATCCTTATCTGTGCATTTTTCCTTGCAACCACTTTAAAACCCAGCCTGGCCATGATTGTCATGGAATGGGTGCTGAGGGCATGCAGTTATCAGAGTAGGTAGGGACCTGCCTAATTTTAGAAAGCCCAAGTGCTTTTTAAACACGCTTTTTGATATTTAAAAATAAAACCTCTGGAAAAATGCCAAGCAGAAGGGAACTGTAGCTAAGCTGTGTATCTGAGGATCTGGGTTTGAAAAGGACCCTGTGCTCCAGGGCAGTGATGCAGTGATTTCACAGGGACATAATGATATGCACTAGAGCAGGGGCGGGCAATTATTTTGGGCAGAGGGCTGCTTACTGAGTTTTGGCAAGCCATCGAGGGCCACATGACAGGCAGCCCTGGGCAGATAAATATTAATTTTCTAAATTTTTTAGGGGCCCCGCGGACTGGATAGAATGGCCTGGCGGACCGCATCTGGCCCTCGGGCCGCATTTTGCCCACCCCTACACTAGGGTATCATTGTGGCGTTGTGTGTTTGTTAGCAATAGCTTTTTTATTAGCTTTGATGCACCATGCTTTCCCATTGTTGGTCTTTCTTCCTAGAACATGTTGAACATTACCAACAGCAATTTCTACCCAATCGCTGTCAGTCAGCTGGAGATTGAGGTTTTACACCTGACCCTGGTGATAGGAAAAACTAGCATGAAGAACCTGCTGAATATGGGTCCTTTGCAGAGTGGCCAGGTGAACCCTACTACCTCTTGCTGATGCCTTTAAATACCTGACTGATATTTATCACCCCTGGATTGGGGATGGGGAAGAGTAGTTCCACTCTGCTTCACTCACCATCTCTCCATTTATTTGGGGGGTGGGGTTCACTTCTGTAACCAGCCACCACACACAATTATTTGTGTATGTGTGGCTGAGTTGGGGTCTGAGAGCCTCAAAAGATCTTGATTTATCTTTTTAATCTTTATGAAAATCATCTTATTGAATACAGTCTGTCTAAACAAACTGCTTCTCTGCTCCCTCTGCATGTTCTCATTAATTTGCCGGAGCTTAGACACTGCTAAGCAAAAAAAGGAAGACAAGCAACTGATGCTAAAGTGTTGGAGAATTTGAGTGCATCTGGGCTCAGTGCAGGTACCTCAAATGGTTGTTAAAGTAGTTGGTGTCTATCCACACAAGCTCTCCAAATACTTGAAGTGGTATTGGCACTGTTACAGCAGCATTAGGCTGGAGTGAGTTCTGGGAATACTTCTACCTGCTCCAGTTCATTTCAAAGGCTTGAGTACTGGTATAACCCCATCCATCTTGTGCCCAGATCTGCAAATCTCCAGTGCTTTTGTTCTTTGGAAATATGTTTAACCAGGGCAATAAAAGTAACTGGGGCACTGAACTCTCCCCAGATGGGGATCATATTTGGGTCTAAAGCAGGAGTGTCAAACTCACCCCTCCATGCATGCTAGATCTAGACATGGCAGTGGCAGCAGAGTGAGTAGTAGTGGCAGCAATTACTTGACCCCTCCTCTGCTGATGGGCTCCTGACCTTGGATTTCAGTGATAGGCCTTACCTGCAAATTACTTCCATGTGTAAACAAGGCCTATATTGGCTTAAAAATAATGCCTATAGGTAAATTAGCGCAGGGGTACTCAACCCCCAGCCTGTGGGCCAGATTCAGCCCATGAGGCTTCCCAAAGTTTCGGAAATTTGCTGGAGGATGGGAGAGAAGAGCAGTGGCAATTAACACTGTCACTGCTCCTCCAGCACCAAATTTCCAAGCCCCAATGGGCCACATGACATGGTCCTGCACCCAGGATTCCACCTGTATGCACAGGAGTGGGTAATGAAGCCCCAGCAGGTATGTACTGGGCCAGGCTGGCAGGGCCCGATCCTGCATGTGTCAGGGTAGAGGCAGGCAGTGGAGCCCTATCCAGAATGCATGGAGATATGGGCAAGGCAACGAGGCCCAATCCTGTATATGTGGGGCTGGAGGTAGCAGGGCATGATCCTGAGCACATGGGGCCAGGATTGGGATGTTGGGGCCTAATCCAGCCCAGGGTGGCCCAGGGGTAGGGTGGTGAGCCAATCCTATGCAGGACCTTAGACACCATGTAGTACTGTTGATGGTAGGCTTACGTAGAGTTTAGCTTATAATTTCAGTGGCGTAGTTTGGGATAGGGATCATCCTGCCTCAGGCAGGGGTTAGACTAGATGACCTCTGGAGGTCCCTTCCAGCCCTACTTCTCTATGATTCTGTGTGGAACTGGGGCCCAATCCAGCATGTGCCAGGTGAGGCCCACAGCATGGTTCTAGCCCCTGGACTCATCCCACACCAATCATCCATCCCACGGAGCAAAAGGTCGGACACCACTAAGCCAACGCATCTTTGAATACAGACAAGGACAAAGTATTTGTGTGTATCATTAAATGCTGCAGGGATTTGAGAAGCGGCAACCAGCTTTTTCCTATGAGATTCAGTCTTGTGGTGCATAGTTGACTGATGAGATTACTGGTTTATGTTCAAACCCTGCAGAGCCCAGAGCAGGAGCGCTATTTGCACTGCAAGACTGTAGAGAGCCATCTTTCAACCAGCCATTTTTTCTACCCAGTTCCTGGGCAGAATTATTGTTACTGTGTGGGGAGGTTTATGCTGTGTGGACCAGATGGGATAATCAGTAATTCTTTATTTTATCGCTGTGGGCTATGCCTGGATGTGGTGAAGGTACTTACTGCACCACTCCAGCTAATTCTTCTGTTTCATTTTAGATATATTACATGGTCTCCAATATGATAACGGATAATAATACGTAGTAAGTATTTTCAAAGACTTCCTTTCTTGGCTTTGGCTAGTGAGTAGCCATAATTCTTTTAGGTTTGTCTTCATGGAGTTATTAGCATAGTTCACATATCTTGTCTGTGGAGGGTGTCACTGAGAACATGTTCTCTGATGCATGTAATTGGTTTAGACAGAAATCCAGTATTTCCATTTTTAATTCCTCTCCCGTTTCTTCTGTGTTGTTTGTTTCCCAGTCTTTCACTGACTTCACTGTATCACTTACAAATCTAACATCTCCCCAGAGTAATAAGTTTCTTCTCACTCTGATGCCTGAGTCTGATAATACCTGAGGTGCCACATGTGTACAATTAAATGCAACATGTATGGAACCCCTCTGCCCCCGCAACACCTCCCTGTGAAACAGCAAGTGGCTGCAGCAGGGGCAGCTTTTTCACAGGTGTCATGATGTGGTCTGTTTTCTGGAGTGCCTGACTGGGGGTCAGGCATTGGTAGAGCTTCATTCTCCCATCTTATACTGTTTGATGCTGTGGGGTGGCAAGGGAAGATCTGTGCCACCAGTGCTTGTTGGTGTAGCTGTGTTGGTCATTGTGTAACTAGATGGCGTGAGGCTTATATAGCAATGTCATTGAAAGCTGCACATGCAGATACAGTCATGCCCATGGGATCATGTTCCTTCCAGGTGCTTAGGGTGGCTGGAATAAGATAAGCTGGCATAGCTGCATCCACCCTAGTGCTCAGTGATATTGGCAAAACCTTCAGAATACAGATCTGGCCAGAGAGACAGCTGAAGAAGTGCCTTCTCATTCCTGGGCTGTTCTACGGAATAGATGGTTGACAACAGCGCACTCTCATTAATTCTCTTTTCTATCTCACAGCAACATCTGTACGTGGACCAGAATCAAAGTCCACAATATTCTACTGCATATACAGTAAGTTTGTCTGGTTAAAAGATAATCACTCTGAACTGACTTATGCCCTCAAGTACTTCTCATGTAGCTCCCCTGAACTTTGCTGTTCTTGGTAACCATGGTCATTTGTGGCTTTTGTTAATCATTTCCCAGTTTTTCAGCAACTGGGGTATGTGTGCTGGTGTGTGTACATGTGATAGTTGTATGATTTTAAAGGCCTGAGAGCCATTAGTTCATGGAGAGGTACCCTGCTCATACCCACAGTGTAGCTCCAGCAGTGCAAGCAAAAAGAGCTGTGACTTATACCAGGAGAGCAGTGCAAGCAAATCAGCCTGATGGACAGCCTGCGTCAGGAAAGGGAGCAGTTGTGTCAACTGTAGCAGGGAGAGTGACTGTTGACCTTGTTCTACTCCCTGAAGGAGAAAGCCTGTTGCCTGAAAGGGGTGGGGGAGACCGACTCAGCCTGGTGCGCAGGGCCTTTAGCATTGTAATGGAGATACTGGGAAGGTGCTGTATGATATGTGTGGTGGACTGTAGCAGGGGCGGGGAGCTGCCTGCAGCCGGATGAGAGCAGGCTGGGGTCAGCAGCTGCTGCAGGTTCAGGCCGGCAGCGGCTCTAGGCTCTTCCCAGCGCTCTGCCTGTCTCCACCCCAGCCCCGGATGCAGTGGCCCTGGGAGCTGCTGACGCCAGCTGCCTGCACCAGGGCACAGTGCAGCCCAGTAGCTATAGGGAGCTGGCATCGGCTGCTCCTGGGACAGCTGCAGCATGAGCTGGGGTGAGCGGGGACAGGCAGAGCCCCAGGGGGTTTGGGGCACGGTGCAGCCCAGTGGTTGCAGGCAGCTGGTGCTGGCAGCTCCCGGGGCCGCTACAGCTGGGGTGAGTGCCGAGCCCTGCACCGCCCAGGGCTCTGCTTGTCCATGCTCACCCCAGCCCATACTGAAGTGGCCCCAGGAGCAGCCGTCACAGGAACCTACCCCTATTTCTTACGTTATAAAGTAGGTTCGCTTTATGCAAATTCTATTTATGCAGCATTCTCCAGGAACGCGGGTACCAAATAAATCAAGGGAAACCTGTAGCTGTACGTGCAGCCTTAATATAAATCAGTGCAGGATGAGAGGCTGCCTGCAAACTAGGCACCTGCATTTAGGCTTTGATGTTATAAGTGACTTGGAGCTGCCAAGTAGAGACATATGGGTGGCTATGAAAGACTGCAGGAGAACTTCTCTTGAAAATCAAATCCTAGCACATGAAGTTGTGGATCCATGGATTTCAATCTCTGTAAAGTAAGCTGGGTTCTTCTCATTCTGCTTTTCAGGGGCACTCTGACCTGTTCCTATCTGTGCCACTCGGAGCAGCTGGCTTTTGAGAACTATCAGTATGTGGACTGTCGAGGGAATACAACGTCACCTCACCCACTTTACCATGGCCCTCCCTGACAGGGCTGGGATGGTGGAATCGCTGGAGGCCATGTTCTCCTGTTGCAAAGGCAAGTTGCAGGAGAGGGGTGCCAACTCCTAAAGCTGCTTTCTGAGCCATTCTGATTGAAGCAGGACATGGGACTCTTTCCTGAGAAGATACTTTCACTCTGCCACTGTCTCTTCAGCAGAGACTCAATGGATTTGGTGAACTTGGGCCACGTTGCTCCAAGCTTGCAATTCCCATTTCTGTGCCTTATGGTGGCCAGTGTAAGTAGAGCACTCCACATTTGGGAAATAGCTGCACTCACTGGTTGAGTGCAGGCTGCTGGACCTGCAAAGTTAACCTGTGCCATACTTGCTTTTTGTGCAACCTATCAGTCAAATCAAGTTTTGCTATTTCCCTGCCATATTGCATCATTGTGTGTGTGCCCTTAATTAAGCATAAAAGTAATACACAAAGGGAAGGTGTGATACAATTCCTCTTGGACAAACAGCACCCACACTTAGTTCTGAAGTGCCAATTGCGCTTTCTATGTGCAAGTGGTAGCAGTGAGTTATAGTGGGTCCCATACACAGGGTAAATAAGGGTGTTGATATGTGTTTGTCCAGTCCAAGACCATGAGTGAGTGTAGGTTTTGTGAGTTTTTAAAAAGTAAATTCATGCTCTAGTTTTTCCTAACGCACAAAAGGGATAGCTTCACAACGGGAGTCATGCAGTCCATGGGAGCCCCGGCTTGTCTTGTACCCATAATTTTGGGAGAGTTTGTGCTGTGTTGGGTGGGGGCCTGTCAGGCATTCTAAGCCCAGCAAAGCTAGTTTCCTGCCTGACTCTGGCAGCTCCTGTCCTAAAAAAAATAAACAGGTGAGGAAAAGTGCACCCTGACCAAGGGAAACTGTTTTATTCAAATACCAGGAAACAACACTCACTCTTCATAGTTTGCCCTGTGGGAGAAGCAGCCCTAGCAACACATCTTTCTTATAACTCATGTTATCCTTTTGTTCTCTGTAAAGACCAGGGGCAAGTAAGAATACACAAACACCCCCTGCCTGCTAGGCCAGCATTCTTAGAATGGGCAGTTTCATCCTAAACACAACAATTATACCTGCAGGCCAGCACATTCCCTGTATCCAAGTTTTGCTAATGCTCCACATGTTCTGACTGGCTGGATATGGAATGTTGGATACATAATCTCCCCCCTCACACCATGTTTTAATACCACTCCAATTGAATGAAAATATGGGGAAAATGCAAGACAGTCATTGGGAGACCTGAACTCTCGTGTCTCCAGCAAAGACTTGTTTGTTCCTAAACATGTTCACAAAACCACCACTCTCCGCAAAGAACCAGAGTGCTTCTGGCATCAGGAGGGCCATTGGACCAATGCAGAGAAGTAGACCAGTGCTGCCCACTGCTGTGTTGCCAGAGGACAGCATCATTCAACAAGCAAGTTCACCTTTTGGTATGTGCTCCTGAGTGCTTCAGATGGGCCACTGAAGTGATCTGAAAACAGCAGTGGGACAAATCTTACCCCCCTTGGGGATGAGGAAGAATTGCATACTGTTCTGAATACATTGCTTGCCTGTTTCTTCTTTTCTGTTCTCTCTCTTCATGCTTGTATGTGCTAAATCAGAGGTCAGCAATGTTTTGGCAGCAAGGGCCGGAGCTTGTGACTATTCAGCTGTTGCTGCTCCCATGTCTCTACCTCTCCCTCCTCCCACTGGCCAACTTCCTCTTTGCACTCACCTTAGTTACATATACCCAGTTCCTCTAGGGAGGAAAGCACAGATACAGCCCTTCATCCATTTTGCAGGGGATGGATGACATGGCACAGCTGCATGCCAGAGATTCCCCGGGGCCAAATAGCACCTCAGCGGGTGCAGGCCATTGGTTGCCCACTCCTGCGCTTAATGATTGCATCTGCTCTGATGTCCCTGCCTCTGGCATGGAGTTTCTGTGCTCCAACGCTACAGTCTGCCATGTACCTGTCCTCCGGGTCAGTATGTTCTTAAATAAAGAGGGCATTGTACCTAAGTGTCTTCTCCTTGTATTCCATCCAGGAAGAGCACACACTAACTGCTGAAACTTCCTTAGCCTGATGAAGGGTTTTTGAACCTGAAAGCTTGCTTAATAATTGTTTTCCAACTATTTAAGTTGGTCTAATAAAAAATATCAGATTCACCCAAAGAACTTTGTCTGCCTATGTCCTTAGACCAACACTGCTACAACCTACACCCTTCTCCTTGTATCACACTCCTGGGGTGAGCAGTCTTGCTCACAATACCACAGTGACATCTGCTGGTCAGCATGATGTGAAAGTGGGTGGCAAGGTTTAAATAAGGTGGAAAGCAAGACCTCAAATCCTGCCTTGGCCACCCCCTCCAACTAAAGGCAGAAGTATGTTGGGCACCAGAGCCAGGTGGCATTGATCGGGTGCAACTGCAACAGTGACAGAATAGTGGTAAGGAACTTGATTTGAGGGGGAAAAACCCAATTGCCTGCAGCACTAAAATCCATAGGGGGCAGGGCTCAGCCTTGTTGCACAAGTAAATGCTCTAGTATGCTGCCAGAGAGGTAGCCAGGGGAATAGCTGCTGGAAACTGGAATCCTCTTAGGGTGGCAGTCAGCTGACAAGATCTCTGGCAGCTTCTGGTCTTGACTGCCTAAACATTCCCCTGTGGAGAGATTTGTTTGCTCACACCGAGGCCCTTATGAAAACTCTGATAAAAAGTTTGACTATAGGTAGCTGTTTTTGCTCTTTGTGAGCTTCAGAAACCAGGTCAGTGCCAGAGCTGCAGTAGCTGCATGCCCCCCACCTTGTTACTGAATCCAAGACAAGGGGCTCTTTCCCCATGTTGAATGTGGAAAAAAAATCTCATCTTGGATTTGAGTAAATATGGTGTTAGGGTTAGTGGGTCAGGAGAATGGCAAGACCCCAGCTGCTCTGTCAGCAATTCATGGAGGAAAAAATACGTCAGTATTGGACAGCGGCAGCAGATCTCCATCCCAGTGCAGTAAACAGCAACACTCCCAAGTGTGCAATGTCAGAAGTCTATCCCTTTCACAAACCAGAGGAAAGTTCTTCACTGCCTTGTGCTTCCCCCCACAGCAGAGTCCTGGAGAAGCTCCTATGAGTTTGTACCCTGTAAGTCAGTAATCTTGATCAGGGAAGATAGAATGAAACAGCTTCCAAGAAATCTCTGGCTCCCTTGAGGAGAAGTATGAACAAAATTAAATAACAAAGATAATGTGATTCCTAGCTGACTTTAATTAGAGCATACTTTGTTAAATATGGACTTCAACTGTCCCTGTATTTATTATCCATCTCCTTGGATTTCTGTTCTACCATGTTTCAGCATCTGAATAGGGGATACCAGCTTAAATTTGACCTCAGTTTTTAAGATTCTTGCTTCCTTAGAATTGAGCTTGCCTTTTTCTCAAGGCACTGGGTCTTGCCTGGCTGTGGGGAGTGCCTCAAATGCACTAGTAGGAAGGGTGAAATGAAGTTACAGACCCAAGGTTAATACAGGTGGTATTGGCTCTATAAAAAAAGACTGCACCCTTCTTGGTGTTCTGCGGGGTGGGAAGAGTTTATTTTACACTGGGGCTATTGCCTACACTGGGAACGAGCTAGCGCATCCTGTGAGGATCTGTTCATGCTAAGGCTTCCTTTGCAATGTTAGACTTTGGATGCGTCTGGATCTCCTTGGTGCTCAGAGGTGACTTACTAGGTATGGCGTCTTCCTGCACAGTTAACTGGACAGCTGTTACCATTGTTGTAGGTATTGTACAGTCTGGAAGGGTAAAAAGAGAATGTTCATTACCATGTTTCTTCCCAACAAAGATAGAAAATAGATGACTATTTAAAACCTTTTTAAAGTGTTATTAATTTTTATTAAAACAATTTTAAGTGTGTAGGATTTTTTTAAATAAGAATGTTGGTTTATTTTGTTCTGTTTTCTTAGCACTTAAAACTGAACTTTAGATGAGCTGGAATGAGTAACAGATGGTCAATCTTCTCTTTTCAGCTAGAAAAGTTTGATGCAGAACTAAGAGAAGTGCTGGATGATTGTTTCCTGTGTTTGACAAAAGCCCTAACATGGCGACGCAGCCAGTCTGGGCCCAGCAGGGTATAAAAGGAGACTCCCCATGTGATGAGGAAGCCAGATTTTCCTCTGCTTGCACCTTCATAGTTTCATAGTAGCTAGGGTCAGGAGGGACCTGAACAGATCATCTAGCCTGACCCCCTGCCACATGTAGGAATGAATGTTGGGTTCACAAGACCCCAGACAGGTGATCATCTAACTTCTTTTTGAATTTACCAGGTAGGGGCGAGGACCACTTCCCTAGGAAGTTGGTTCCAGATTCTGGCCACCCGAACTGTAAAATATTGCCTCCTGATCTCTAACCTATGATACCGGTGTGGTATCTGTCCAGGCAGGACCACTCACCATCAAGGCTTCCACCCAAGTCTCAGTTTGATGCTGTGGAGACTGCGGCTTGCAAGTTCCTTCCAATTATGGCCAAGTGAGGGAGTGCCTGCAGTGTGAGTGGTGCCTCCTTGTAGTGTCCCTCAGAGAGAAGGCAAGAGAACTACAGGAACATCCTCCTCCATGAGGCATCTGAAGCATCCTCCACCATGAGGACTTCATCGAGTCAGTGCCGGAGGAGACCTCCAGGACTGGAGAAAGGACTGCCAGAAGTGGTTCTAGAAAAGGAAGAGACTATAGACTCTCAGGAAGGCAGAAGATGGAAGCATCTCTGGCAGCAAAAGAACGTCATCATCCCCATCTGCAGTGATTTGCCTGGAGAACAGATATGGAGTGCTAGCAACAGAGGAGGAGGAGAGCATTCTGTTGATGGAAAGAGGCCAGGAATCCCCAAGGTGGGAAGGATCAAGACCACTATCACAAAGAGGAAGCAACAGGTGGAGAGACTCCCTTCTGTATGGGATGGAAAGATCCATCTGCCAGCCTGACCTTTTGTCCCAGGAGGTCTGCTACTTGCCTGAAGCCTGGATCCAAGATGTCACGGAAGGATTACCGAGACTTGTCAGACCCTTTAACTACTATCCAATGATACTGTCAAGGGCGACCCTGAGCAGATCAAGAGTGACTACAGGGCTCTGAGTGCAAGGGTGAAGGGGACAGGGGCACAGGTGGCATTCTCCTCTATCCTTCCGGTCAAGGGGAACGGCTGAGGCAGGAGCAGATGCATCCTACAGATCAATGCATGGCTGTGCAGATGGTGTCACCAGTAAGGATTTGGTTTCTTCAACCATGGGATGTTGTTCCAAAAAGAAGGTTTGCTAGGAAGAGATGGGATCCACCTGATGAAAAGAAGGAAGAGCATCTTCACAGACGGGCTTGCTAACTTAGTGAACAGGGTTTTAAACTAGGTTCACCAGGGGATGGAGAACATGTACAAATTCATGCAATGCAGCCAAGGATGTTGGCTGATGTGATTGCAGAGCCTCTGGCCATTATCTTTGAAAACTTGTGGCAACTGAGAGAGGTCCCAGATGATTGGAAAAGAGCAAATATAGTTCCCGTATTTAAGAAAGGGAAGGAGAACCCAGGGAACTCTCTCTGCATCACATTGCTGTCTTTCAAAAACTTAATTTTGCTGGGAAAATTAAAGCTATTTTAAGATAAGAGCACAACAGCAGCCTATAGCACTTTATATTAACTCAAGACCGTTGAGCACTAAATTGCTGTCTTCAAAGCTTTGTAAACTAAAGGTGAGCTGTAGGCCCCTGTATGGAAGTGACTGGCCCTGTAAACTACCATGTAGAAAAAAGAAAAATCCCTTCTCCCTGTTGCTGTGGGATTGTTCCCTACAGTATACAATCTACATGGGCTATGGGA